CAATTCAATATAATCGATACGGCAGAGAGAATAAGAATATGTAAGCAATGATACAAATGAATGTCTCAAACTATTTCCTGTCACTGAAGCAAGCCCTGAAACATGTCCCATACATCTGAGACAGGTTGGGGTGACATCGACAACAATTGAGAGTTGATGTAGTTTTCAATCTGTCTCTCCCTTTTGTCCATTCTAGCTCAATCATGCTGCTGCTTACAATTTTATGCGTTTATTTCAATCATGTACGTAAAACATGCATAACATTATGTGATAAGTTTAAACATCAGATTAATTATGACAAAATTATTTCAGGATAAATATATGTTTATGACTTTAATGTTTCTATAGGGAATGTAGATAAGTTATCTGCATTCGCTTCCAAAATGACGTCGTTTTGACTTAAAAAATTAAAAAATTATAATGAAAAAGACTATTATAACCCTGAAATAAATTATGATTACAAAAATATCTTGATTTATGTCTCAAAACAATATCGTTTTAGGCTCAGTGTAGATAAGTTATCTACATTGACTATAGAAAAACAAACCCTACTTTATATATAGTAATTTTTTTAAAATTAAAAAAAAAATCTTATGCTTTCAATCATAAAATGAAATTCCCTGAAATAAAAACAAAAAGGGCACAATTTTATAAACCCCTTTTGCTTTTTGTTCATGTTACTATTTTTTCTTTTCTTTTTTTTTCTTTTCTTTTTTTTTCTTTTGGCAAATTGGTTTTCACAATGTGTTATGCATAGTCACTGGCTCTGTGACAAAGGCACACAATTCCCTTTATCTGTAGGGGAAAACGCCGAGACTGAAAAGAACAGTTCATTGCACCTCGGAGTTTAGTTACTGTTATTTTAAAGTTCAAATCTGATCACTAGCTTAGATTTATTTAAAAAAACAAAAAGTCCCACATAAAGTGTAATGTAGAGTACTAGAGTTAGCCTAAAAACTTTTTTAAAAAAAATAATAATAATAATAATAAATGGATTTGAGTCGTTATGGACCTGATCAAGAAATAGCACTTTTATGTACGCAATATAATAACTTCGAGGCAAAAGCTTAGCAGTCACGATATTAGATTAAGAATATAAAGTTGATAGTGTACTCACCACTATTATAGTCAAAAAAGCTTCAATTACCTTTTACTCCTTTTTTTTGAACCCTGCTTTATTCAGTAATAAGATGTGATGTATGAATTTATTAAATCATTGGATTGAGGATCAAATCAGGAAAAAGCTTTTTCGTATCTTTATTTTTATGTCTTTAATGCTCTCTCTGGTAACAAAATTATCTTCCCACTCTCTCCTACACGCGCATGCATTTTTACTCACAAAATCAAAGAATTCCCACCATGGGGACAAAAGAAGAGAAGGTTTTTTTTGTCATAGAATTGAGTGTTAATACCCCCAAAGACTGCATGCACACAGTGAATTAAGTTGTGTAAAAATTTATTTATTTATTTTTTTGATATAACACCACAAATCATTTTTTTCAGGTGAGTCAGTTTTAGTATTCTCATCAGTTTTAATTTTTTAAGTCAATTATAGACTAATTCTAAGTTGGGTTTAGTCACATTAAAATTCTTTATCCCTTTTTAATTTTATTCAGCCTGTGTTGCTAACTACTTGTTGTCTAAAATAATTTAGAGTAGAAGAGATAAAGAACACAAAAGAGAAGAGAATAAGCTCTGACTTGAGGGAACATGGGAAAACGCCAAAGGAAATGAAGCCAATGCTCACCGCCCACTAAAATGTCCCTGATGATCCATTGCAACAAACAAACAAGTTCCTTTGAAGTTTGAAGAACGCGTGCCCTATTGAGCTGACACAAACCCTCGCTTTCTCTCATGGCTCGCCTTTTCAAGTTCTCTTCCAACATGGATTCTCTTTGCATTGCAAAACCCATCACTTCTCTCAAGAGATAGGACTAGATTCTACTTTCACACTTTTTGCTCCTATCGTCATTCTTGAGGGGAAGAATTGAATATTCATAATACATATCATGTTGTCTATCTACCTTAAGATTTGCATGGAAATTTTTTAAGAAACTAGAGGATGCATGAATGATCCTTTTTGGTCTTTATAATTGTTACTTAAGCTTTTTTTTTTTTTTTTAATTCCCTTTAAAAGACTCCACTTCCACTCTTAGTGTCATCATTGCATCTGAGTTGGTGGGCATGCATGGATTGCTTTAACCCTTTAATATCGACTTTTGTTTATTCTTTTTTGGTAATGAAGGAATGTCCCTTTGCTTGAGCTTCTAAATTTCCTCATTCTTTATTTTTTTTCTTATCCTTTTCGCCATCACTTTCTCAATCTCTGACTGTGAGAAACAGTGGAAAATTTTTAAGGTTGGTTTTGGCGTTTGCAAACTCGTTAATGCTTACAAAACTCAAGTAATAAGGAATCATTGTCCATTTCAGTGATATTAACTGTGGCTATCTAATGCTACAAAGAAGCCTGATCAGCAATGATGGTTACAGTGATTGTTTGTAGATCTGCTCTCTGTCTTTGAACGTACGCTTTGCAGCTCTAATATTTCGAGACAACAGTAATGATGACAACTGTTATTGTTGTCGTGATCTATCCGAATGGATGGGCAAGGTTGGATCTAGATTCTCCTTCTGTGGTTGATTAAAGGGATATATATATATAATCATGTTAGATTAAGAAAAATGTGATTTATTTTAAATCTATAATTAGTAGACTACATGTAATTAAGGATAGACACATAATAAAACTTGGGTATTATTTTAGGAGAGAAAAACTTAAGCAATTTGAAACTCCGAAAAAAACAACTCCTAAGCTCACATTAACTCTACTACAGCAGTTCAATATCCTTTTGCGTCCACATTTTTCTCACATCAGATATAATAGTCCTACGTTATGCTTGAAACTTGAAAGTTTGAGTGGGGAAGGAAAGGGAAGTTAGGAGTATGGAGAAAAATTTGTTTATCAGATAAATATAATTAATGAGAAAATGGTGAGAAAATATGTTTGGTAAGAAAATAAAAAAATAAAAAAGTTGTTTGGTAACACAAAAAATTACTGAAAAAATTGGTTTAAGTTTTCTAAGTCTATATTTAATTGAAGGTAAAATATTAATAAAAAATAAGTTTAAATTACCACAACAACCCTTTAGTGATGTGTCGATTAATGAATAACGGATACTATTGCTTAAGGATAATAAAAAGAACATATACTTGGTAGAAATAGCAAAGATAAAATCACGTGTCAACAATGTTTTTTGAATTTCCCTAACTATATTGACAAATACTACCTTGTACGTGGTTTTATTCGACGATGTTTTTTACACACAAAAAGTAAATACTAGACAAATAACTTTGCTAGCTAAATTTTTTAAAACCTGATACCAAATATAGATATATAAAAATACCACTTCCATTTGTCTAGTTATCTTCAATAAAAACTCCTACCAAACACACCCTTACTCCCCTTTGTATGATGTTTAAGAAAGAAACATATTTCGAAAAAAAAATTCTACTTAATTAAATAAAAAGTAATAAACTGTCACCAAAAAAATAATAATAAGTAACAAATTATTAATCTAAATTTGCAATACATTTCTCATGTTGCAATCTTATGAGTTATTACACATGCTTAATGAAGAACATATATTTAATTTCATAATATGTAATTTTAAATGTAAAACAATTATTTCAACCAAAAAGTTTAAATTTTTGAATGAGATTACATTAATAATTTTATATTATATTTCTCTAACACATTCACTCTATTTTAAGAAATTTTATAATATTTAATTGGGTTAAGTGGATGTCCTTTAAAAGGACACAAGTTGTGTCCTTTTAGTGACTTACACAAAGTCTGACCAGTAAGACTTTGTGTAAATTTGAAAAGTTATTTATTTTTTCACTTTACATGTCAGCGATGTGACTAAGAAGAGAAAAAAAAAATCACTTTTCAGATTTACACAAAGTCTTACCAGTCAGACTTTGTATAAATCACTTAAAAAGACACAAGCTTGTATCCTTTAGAAGGATACTTCTTTTTTTCTATTTAATTATTTATTAATAAAATAAGAAGCTAGCAATGAGGATTGAATTTGTGATCGTGAAAGCTCTAATAATAACTATTTCAATTTAAAAGCTTAATGTTTTTGAGTTAGATCACTACATTAATGATTTAATATTACATTTCTTTACCATTAAATAAACCTTTTTCCCATACTACCCACTGTGCGGGAAAGCAATTTAATTGTAACAGGTGTAATTTTGCCCATGTACGTCAGTTTTTTTTTGTGTGTGTGGGTGCATGTTGTTCTTAGGTGCTCTGTAGCACTATGGTAATTCGATAAGATTCAGTTATTCTGCCTACTGCAAAAAAAATTTCTCAGAAACGTTTGATTTCTCCTTTAAGAACAGGGATCGAGTTTCCCTAGAGAAAGATAAAAATGAAATTGTGAATACATGTCAGTTATGAATTTCATCTAGTAATTTTTTTCTTTTTTTAGCCTTATCTATACTTTTCTTTCAAACTTTCCACGATGTAAGAAAGCATGATGGAATCTAAACACTCAAAACCCCACTCCACCTTAATAATTTTCTTCTTTACTACTGTTTGCAACTTTTTTACGCCTTTGCACTTATTTGCACAATAAGTTCTCTAGCTATGGGTGTGGCATATGGTTTCTGATCCGCCGCAGACCTCACAAGGCCTGATCTTTGGGCTTTAGTCTTATGGCACAATAAAATTTCTGCTTTGGGCTTCAGCTTTTGACAACCTTTAAGATGACATCTTTATTCGTATGCCTCCTTGGGTCGTGACACATCCTGAATATCTATCAACCATCATATTCTGGAAATGTTTTTGTACGTTTTATACAGAAACCTCACATCATGCGTCGTGTCAAACATCAAGGAGCATAGAGTAAATTTTGTTGATGTGATATATGGGGGTATATGCTTTCCCCCACGTAATTCTTGTGAAATTACAGTAAAAATTATAAACCCATCCCATCATTCATTATTCACTTCCCTACACTGAAATTTTAGAACTTAGAAGCCACTGTTAATCAGGCTTGGTTGCATTGATTAGAAGTATATTACCCGTTAATATCACATACCGTATTTTCTTGAACTCAAAAGTTGCTAGTTTGAGTTTTCCAACGTTACTTGCCTTCCTCCGAATGAGAGAACTTTCTTTTCAGGACCTCGTTCTCCTTTCTTAGTTTCATGATTTTCTGCTTAAGTGTTTCCACTTGCCAATTTGAGGTCATATCCTGCTGCTGGTCAACCATCTTTGCTTTACAAATCAGCACTACAAGGCACAGAAAAGCTTCCTGCTTATTTTTACGTGATAAAACATGAAAATGCTCAAATAAAACAATAAACTGGTTTTGTGTTATAGAAACACGGGAAATCAATCACCGCTTACATTCCTTTTCCAAATGTTGGACTTTTCTATTTAACTCATTCTTCTCTTCCTGCTCAACCGAAAGACATTCTTTCAAATCCTGAACCTCAGCATTATCTATCAAATGATGATGATGAGCAAAACAAACAAACCTTCTGATCTCTTGAAATTCATACAATTTACTAGTAAACAAAATTAAAGTGCCTCACATTTTGATTCCACTTCGAAATGGATTTGGTCCAACCTGTTTGCTAGAACTTGCATATGACTTTTATGTGCTGCTAAATCTTGATGGAGTTGGCTTATGGTTGCTTCATACGTTGCTTCCTTATGTAGAGATGCCCTGAGTAAGTGAAGATCAATGATATAATTAAAACAACAAAACTTCATTTTAGTGATAGACATGTTTTCACTTAATTAATTAAGGGATTATTATTTCTTCTACAATATCAGATAAAAGTATCTCTTGCAACTCCAAAATGACATTGTTTTAGGATTTGGGAAAATGATACAAGAAGAAAATGAAATTTCAAAAATACCATGTATTTTTTTTCCTAAACTTTAAAATGACCTCATTTTGAGTTGCAAAAATTAATTTTATCTCATGTTACACGATCAATCATTTTTCCATTAATTAATCATTATTACTCACTCAACTTGAGCTTCTAAACTTGCAATTTTTCCTTCATATTCTTGCTTGAGAAATTTCATAGCCTTCCTGTGTCCCTGCTCCAAAAAATTTATACATTAGGCAGTGCCGATATATGGTGGAATGTAATAACTGACAAGATTGAAATTAACTCACGTCTTCTTTAGATATAACTTCATAACTCGCTCTTTCTAGTTCTTCTTTCAAGTTCAAGCATTTTGTACGGAAATCAAGCTGCGTGCCATAACATTAGTTAATTAAATTAACATTACTAATATAAAAAATGCAAGTTAAGTGCAAAATACAAACACCTGATCTGCCAGATTTTTTAAGGACTCTGTGTACAGTTTTGTCAACTTGTCATTTTCTGCGACATTTACAATCTAAATTTAGCTACAATTACAACATAATGATGCAAATTTTTATATTGTTAACCTCTTTTGAGGGTGTTGCAAGCGACTTGGAGAGATTCCCTCATTTTGAACTCTGCGCTGTATTTGGATTGGAGCAACTGGATCTCCGAAATGCCGTTCTTAACATCCTGATTCACCAAAGCAAATTAACAATTAAAATTCTTGTTTTGAGGCCTAACAATTCGTTACTATTTGCTTCGAATACCTCGTAGATCTGATCGAATGCGGAGAGCAGTGACTCCATTTCTTCGTCACTGATTGCCGCCATTTTTTCTTTCTCCCTCACTCTCTCTCTTCAGAAATTCGAATTCTCTTCCTCGTGCAACGATTTTCCTATTGCTAATGTAATGCGTGATGCTGGAGGATGTCACGGGCTTGGGCTTATTCTCCTATGTTATATAAGCCCACTTGAATTATTAGGTATTTTAAATGTACTAATGTTTCATGTTATACGAGATTATGGGCCATATGTGTTATTTTATTTTATTTTCTCACATGAGAATCACACATTTTTACATGTGGATAAAATTATTTTTTATAACATGCTATTGCAAATATTTAGGGTAAAAAGAAGCTTACCACCTACCTGGACAAGCAGTTATATTATGGTTGGATATATTACAAATTAGTTAACAAACCACTACCTCTTGAGTGGCAATAAGGGGTGTTTGGTATGAGTATTTTGATTGGAATGACGGGAAAGTAGGATTGGGTTTATTTTTTTGACCATGTTTGGTATAAAAAAACATAAGAAATTCCCAGCCAAATAATTTTTCCAGCATTTGAGTTTGTAACTACAGACTAGAAAAAAAAAATCCCTCCAAACACATGGATAAGAGTTTTAGGATGGACAAACTACTAAAAGAACGGAAGTTTGAATTCTGAAGAGAACCTTTGATTTCTAAGTTAGATAATTGTCACACGGCCTAGTTTTATACTTATGCATATCCCTTCCTGGTCATGGAAGACTTGACTCAACCCAAAGACATAATTAAAAATTAAATTTTGAACACAAGTGGAAGGTGGTTGTCTTCATTTATCTACTACACGGGCAAAAACACGTTAACTGAATTTATTGCAAACATGACAAATGATTGAAATGATCTCGAATACGAGATTAGCTACTAGTTTCGTGGAATGATACAATTTACAGATTCTGACAGACACAGTCATACCAATTCAATGACTGTTTAGCAAACAAGTACTAAACAGTCCCATAAACCTTAATTGCAAGAGGGATACAGAATAACAATGAACAAAAAGATCTAAAAAAATACTGCATCACCACTAATAACGTGAACAACACAAAGGAGATAATAGCAATACAGATAGCATGCGTGTAAAATAGCACTGTAATAGTAGCATGGTCATCTAGAAAGCCATAAGATTTGTTCATCAATCTTGCTCAGCTTCTCATCATCAAGGCGTTTCCAAGTCATGATTCTCTTCACGTCCATCCAGGACATTTTTCCTTTGTGAAGTTCAGCTAGTATAATCCTTGCTCTCCTTGGCCATCCAGCCTTCCCATAGCCATGGTATCCAAAGCCACCACCATAACAAAACCATATGCCATGCAAGTTTCCACAGAAGTCATTGGTGTGGTCATGGCCTATGAACACAGCCTTCACATCTCCCATGGAGACAAAGGTCTGCAAGACCCCTGAGTTCACTCGTGAACAAGCCACACCCTCTTGAAATTGGCCTACAGTCTCTTTGTAGAACAGCTGCGGAATTTCTGGGATTGGGATATGGAAAAATGCTAGTGCCGGTGGTTTAGTTGGGGAAATAGCATCAGTAGGATGAAGAGGATCCTGCTTTTGTCCCTGTTAGCATGTGACCTGCAAGATGTTAATCGTATCTAAATCTGGGAAACCTCCCTCAAGGGAATATAAAAACAGAAGAAGTACATGATTGCATTATTGCTTGAGAAATCAAAAATAGTCTTGCTGATAAGAGGACTAACATTTCTCTTTTAACATTCAACCTTTTCTAGGTTAAGTTTTAATCTAAGCAGGTAGGTTAACGAGGGTGAAAACTAAAAAAAGAATGAGAGAAAAATATTCAACTTAACGGCAACCATTACTGTCTGCCCCACCCAATATATTTATTTCATGTGTGATAGTTACTACAATTTCAAGTAAACACAATTAGCTATTGAAAAACTCAGTTGCTTTTCATTTATAAAGAACCAAAACAGTGAAAAGAATAGTTATTTCACTCTTGGGCATGTTCTTGTATGATTTTTCCCATTTGTTAATCTTTTTTGAAGCACATTCAAAGTTATTTCAAGGGAAAAATTGCTTCCTTATCTGACATGCCTGAGTTATGTTCCAATTTTCCTAAGGCTGACTATCATTTTTCCCACCTAGTAATTTATGTAAATCTGATATTGCATGAGACATGAGCCCACATGTTGCTTTGCTCCATTCCCATTGAGCAATTTAATTTTAATACAAATAAATAAATAAATATTAGGTAGCAAAGCAAAAAGCTTATCATGTCTATATACTAATATACACAAGACTCTTCAATTGTTGAGATATATTAAGTCATTAAAAAGCCATCACCCACCAGCTTAAGCTTTTAGGTTGAATTGGTTCTTTACATGGTATCAGAGCCTCGGTGTACCGGGTTCAATCCTCACCGCCCCCCACTTTTTTTCTAGTGGAATTTCTTTCTTCACACAGGTAGGTGGGCCTGTGCATTGTCCACCCTTCAAGCCCAGTGGGCTTTCGTGTGAGGGGACGTGTTGAGATATATAAAATCATTAATGTAGTCTCACCTAACAGCTTAAGCTTTTGGGATGAATTGATTCTTTACATGGTATCAGAGCCATAGAAAATAAAAAGTCATAACTAAAGTAAAAAAAAAAAATCACTACCAAGGAAAGAAAAAATAAAATTATGAAGATTGTACCTATTTACAGAAATTTTTTTCAGAAATATAAGCCAATGAAAGCAATCATGTGTAGGAATATGAAGCACCGACACTTCAAAAACCCTGACGTGTCGTGTCCGACACTTCCCGACACTCCGACACTCTAACACGCGTTATGGAAATTCAAAAAAAGATTCAAAGGTTGCATTGCTTTGAGTTTTTAGTTTCAACTGGTAGATTCGTTGGAATACGATTACCATTTTATTGAGTTTAATATAAATATTTAGGATATCTTATGTTTCTTTGCAAAATTGATTAGTTTCATTTTTTTGTTAAATTATTGAATATCAAATATAATATCAAAACGTGTACTAACGTGTCGAAATCTAATATTTTTTAAAATTAACGTGTCGACAGGGGCGAACCGAGGGGGGTGCTAGGGTAGGCGGCCGCCCCCCTCAAAATTTGAAGAATTTTTTTTTTTGGTACATAGAAGAAATTTTTTAACATAAGTATAATGCAAGAAACCTCCATTTTTTCTCTCCATTAATGTGAAGTAGTTTTCTCCCACCGCAGAGTTTATAGAGCTTCTTTATATTCTCAGGTCCTATATTTATTGAAACCCCTCTAACTCTGATTGCATTTTTTTACAAATTACATTAAGTATGACCAGTCATACACTCTTGATTAAAGTATGACGGTCAGACACAGTGTAGGTTGTAAGAGTTTCTAAAAAAAAATTTGAAAATATAACCTTCCCCTTAAATTATAGTTTAAACCTCGACTTGAAACTTACAGTTTCAACTTTATTATGCTTAGATGTTAGCACAAATCTTCCCATCCATGAATAAAAATAAGAAGTCTGAGAGTCTTACGAAAGAATGAACCTTATTCTTTCGATCCCTCTCCTTTTCTGATGATTCGTGATAGAGAGGGAAGTAAGGGGCAGAAGGGTTTTAGTGATTGTGATTCTTGACAATCTGTCTCTTCTGATTTATCTTTGGCTTTTTTTCCTTCTTGGGCTAACAGTGAGTAAATAGAAAAAGAGGTTAAGAAATGAAAGGGGTCTGCTTTGAATTATCTATTTACATTGTAGTAATTAGTACATATTTTTTGTGAAATATAAACCGTTGCTCTCTTCTCTTTTTCTTTGTTTTCTTTGCATAAAAAATGTTCATTTTAGGGGTTGAAAATGTGTAGATTTTTCAAATTGATAGTAGATTTTACTGTGACATCTTCTACCCCTCTCTCTCTCCTTCTTTCTCTCTATAACAAGTTAAAAGAGGTATTTATGAGTTATGTTCTCTGGATTGGTGTTTCGGCCTCCCACATATTGTGGTTGAAAAGAGAAATAAATATTTAATTTTTCGTATTTTGACCTCTCATATATTATGTTTGAAGAGAAAAATAAATATTTAATTTTTAGCCCCCCACAGAAAAAATTTCTGGGTCCGCCACTGCGTGTCGGATTGTCATGTCGTGTCGTGTCACGTGTCCCGTGTCGGTATCGGTGCTACATAGGTAAGAAGCATGTCAAGATTTAAAAAGATAAATTATTGTCTCTTCATAATCATCACCAGAATTATTATGATTAACAGATATTTAAATAGCTACCAGTGACAATATTCAAATTTTGTTATTACCTGAAATTCTTGAGAAACACGACGAAGCCACTGAAGTTGAGAGTCTTTGATCCATCCATAAGTTCGAATTCCCTGATAAACAGCCCTGTCTCCGCTGTCAAGAAAAAAGAGATTCAAAACAGTGCTGTTTGTCATCATGGAACCGGGGGCACCATACACTCTTAGGTTATAATTCCCAAAGCCATCAATTTTTGTCATCATGCCACCTTTAGTAGGATCAGTGAGATTATCAGCTGACGGATTGATTTGTGAGACTGAATAGTCCATAAGGGAGATGAAGGACATTAATTCTTCACGATTCATAGTTGATTCTTGGTCATGGTTTCCCAGAACTGCTGCCCAAGGAAGTCCTGATTCTGTGGCGGGACCAAAGGCTTTAAACAGAGATTCTGCAGCATCGGGGGTACTTGATCCGAATATATTATCTCCTAATTGCAAGAACTGAATCCAAGTTAATTAGGCACATGGAGAAAACAAACAAAGACACACTTACGGTAAATATTTCAGTATAAAAAAATTCAGCCAGGTACCGTATAGCAACTAAACATTAAAAATAAAGAGCCACCTATAGCGTAGACATAGTTTAGTTAAGCCACGTTCAGGAGAAATGTTAATGTTATATTTTCATTTATGCAAGACATAAGCTGGAAGAATTTATTTTCAGCCAGAATGTTTAAATGCTGCTAGTGCTGAATACATTTAGATTGGTAAAATCCTATCCAGAAGGTGATAAAATAGTAGTCAAATACTTAAATTGCATATCAATGTCCATAAACCCTATCATTTGGAATAAAAGACAAGGTATATCAGGCCCAAGGGCTTGAATTATGTATCCTAAGCTAAAACCTATTTCTACTGTATTTCATTTGGTCATGTTACTTATAGTCCAAATCAAAATAACCATGGAATTTCCATAGTATTCAATAAAAATTCTATTTTCATCTTCTTTCCTTCTATCCAGTGAAGAAATATGATTTCAAAATTCACGTAGATTCAAATGACCTGCTTCCTCACCCAGCTTTATTACATCTATAAACAAAGCACCGTTAAGTACCAAGAATCTACCTTGCTCTACTTTTATCGCCATATTATATAGTCTGCAAATGTGCATTGCTTTCTATACAGTAAACCATTTATAATTTTCTTAGCAGAACCCAGCTTGGTTGTGTTAAATCACAGGTAGTATTATAGACCCTTAGCCTAAGTATAAAAAGCCACTCTTCATTAAATCCCGAGTATTCCTGACTAGTGAGGGTGGGGCAAGAGCAATTATTATGCAGCCTTATCCTTGCATATTTGCAAAGAGACTGTTTCTCAAATTTGAACCCATAACCTTTCAGTCATAAAAGAACAATATTGCCACTACTCCCAAGACTTGCCCTCTTACCCTTCGCCTAAGTATATAATACAAAAAGAAGGGGATGGAGGATAGTGCGCCGCGTGCGTAAGAAAGAATAAGGAAGCAAGGTAATGAGGAAATTGGAGGGAATTTGCTAGCTGTAGAGAAAGAACCAAGAGAGAAGTTGATTATGGGAGAGTGGGCTATCAGTAACAGCATGGACAGCTGCCACATGCTGAACGAGGGGGAGTATTCTGGTTTCACACCAGAAAAAGGTCAATGTGAATAAGACAGGGAGGGGCGAGGGAGAGAAGGCAGAGAAGAATTTGAAGGAATAAGAACTCGGTTCAGGGACAAAGGCTAGTGCTCTGCACATCAGCAATCTTCTCCATATCTGAATCAGTGGGCTAACTCTGATTGTAGGAGCTAGTCTCTGGCTTTCTTTACACTATTCCAAGCTTATATCATGGTATTTTCATTTCAATTCCAGCTAGTACTGATAGCTCGCCATTGAAAGGTCCAAGTTAATCAAAATTTGAAGGATATCAGTGTTCCAAACTTCCTCTTACAGAGAGTTCACTTTTGTAGAATAAACTCCGGGGCTTTGACTGCCCCGAATTGACTATTATTAATTTATTATAGTCTTCGATTTCTGAACAAACTCCTCCGGTTTATTAGGATGTTTAAATTCTTCCAAAATTGAGGGAACTTTGAAATGTTTATAATAATGAATAAGGGAGGGTTTTGGAGGATCAAATTAAAATTCCAATCTTCTTCCCCTCCTTTTACAAAACTCTCACTCACAAAGAGGAAGGTTTACCTAAAACCTCCTTTTCCCCTCCCAACATCCAAAAATAGCAAGGGGATAGAATTAGGAAAACTAAGGTAAGAACATTTTTTTTTTGTATAGACAACACACAGCCAACAACTATGATAAACCATCAAAATATGCTAGTTGGTGTATGTGCAATTTAAACATGAACCTTTTTTTTTTATCTGTCCTAGTCTCTTATTCTCCTATGCTCAAAATATCTATTTTTACCAGATCAAGATACAATCATGCTACTTTTCTTTTTCTTGTAAAACAATTTTGCTAGATAAAAGTGTCAAAACTTCAAACATTCCAATCACTCACGCTAGGGTGAAGGCAATAATAATAACAAACTGCAAATTCACAAAAAAGGAAATCAAAAACAGAAAAAGCAGAGAAAAAAAAAGGAACTAAAATTAATAAATTACCAGTAAAGGCTATGAAATCAGGATTCTCAGCCTGAATGATGCGCTTCAAAAACCGAGTGGTGTTAAGATCAGAACAAAACTCGAACTCAGAAGCCAACACATCCCTGCACCGGGTTATGCTTCCACTCCCATAATGCATATCAGCCACCTGCCATCGAAACCAACGAAACCAATGATGTACAAGAACACACACACACACACACATATATATATATATAGAGAGAGAGAGAGAGAGACCTGAAGGATTTTGAAGGTGCCATCGGAACGGAACCGTAGAGGAAGATCAGGAATCTTCTTGATACGCACAGTTTCGTTACCAAGGAAGAGTTTACGTAATAAATGGCTTTGTGTAATGTGAAGAATTGCAAGGACGAATGTGAGGTAGAGGAGAGAGTGTTTCCAGTTTTCCGTTGTACAAGAATCCATCACAGATCGGTGGGTGTTCATTGGTAGTGTCTGTGTGACCAACAACTGTAACAACTTACGACTACATAGTTGTTTGTGAATTATGGATGTTCAGATCATGGGCCTCGCTTTTTGGGCTATTCGTGGGTCGTGTTCCTGGTCCATATATTGCTGCATGGGTTTGGGTTTGAGGTATTCCATGTTGACATCAACGACTTTAACGAGAGAAATGGTTTGAATGTTTGTCGTATTGCCAAATGTTGTGTATTGCTTGTATGCATTTAATGAGTTTAACATCAAATTATGTATGAGTGAGAAGATAGATATCTATTATAACTATGGAACTATTACTATAATCAAACCATAATTAATGATGGACTTGAATTAGAAATTTTGCTGTTGTGTACTAACACATGTTTCTCTTTTTTTTTTTTTTTTTTGGTTACAAGAAAAATGTTGTTGTTTCTGTTTTTTATTGTTGAAAGAAGTTTTTTTTTTTGCTATTCATTATTGTTGCTGTTTCTATTTTCTATTGCTGTGTGAATTTCTCGTTGCTATCTAGTGCTGCTATTTTCAATTTATTCATTTTTTTTTTTTGTAAATAATTTATTCATTAAATTACTAGTATAATATAACATTTAAGCTAACCTAAGTAACATTTTCTAATTCTATTAGGGAATATTACATTTCGTGCATATGTGTGATAACATCGTTAACCTTGGGGATAAAAAAAAAAAAGATATGTGTGTTGGAGATTATATGTAACAGTATATTGTTTGAATTCTTTGTAACGTATATTGTTTGAATTCAATTCTTTGTAACCGTAGGTTTGAATTCTTTGTAACGTATATTGTTTGAATTCTTTGTAACCGTAGGACTGTTTAGATAGAGTATTTATTTGTTTTAGTCTGTTACGTTGTTACCATTTATTGTATGTTCGCCTATTTGAAGGCTACCAATGAATGAGATAAACACACAGTTGAAATATCAAGTTTATCTTGGTATCAGAGCAATCCTAGTATACATGTTTCCGCATTCCCTTTCAGTGCGAAAGCTGGTTCATTTAACATGGCACCAGGTGGTGGCAGCAAGTCCAAAACAACTGATCCTAGTTCGCCATTTTACTTGGCTGGATCCGACAGTCCAGGTCTCTTGTTAACGACTGTCATGCTGCGTGGTGAGGCCAACTATGACAACTGGGCCAAGCTCATGAAAGACGCATTGAAGGCGAAAAACAAATTGGGTTTTGTGACCGGTTCGGTCAAGAAACCAGGAGAGGATGATGCCGAAGAGTGGCGCGCCTGGGAGATGTGCAATTCGATGCTCAATGGTTGGATTCACAACACCATTGATGCAAAACTTCAACCATTCATCAAGTGCTTTGATGACGTCAAGGACTTATGGAATGACCTAGAGGAAAGGTATGCAGTGTAAAACTTTCCAAGACAGTATCAACTGATATCCAGTTTAGCCAATATCAAGCAACATGGAGATAGCGTTGGTGATTATTACACCAAACTCAGGGCTGAATGGGACGATCTGGAAGGCAGCAAAACTCGCAAGTCTTGCGATTGTGGTGATAAGTGTGCCATTGCCAAAGCAATCGAGGAAGAGAAAGAGCATGATCGCGTTTATCAATTTTTGATGGGGCTGGATGAATCTACATTTGGCAATCTGAGATCCCATATCCTCAACACTTCTCCTCTTCCTAGTGTCAACAAAGTGTACGCAATTGTCACTCAAGAGGAGACCCATCGTAGTATTTCTCGCGTTCAAGATGAGAGGAGTCAGGTAGTGGGATACTCAACCCAAACCGATTCCATGAAGCAGTCAGACACGTCCATGCAGCAGCGGATGGTTCCTAACAAACCACAAGACAGAATACCTTGCCCTCATTGTGGCAGGACCAATCACGACCCTTCCAAATGCTGGAACGTTCATGGTTTTCCACCAAACAGGAGTGCTGGTCGCGGACGAGGAAGGGGAGGACGTTCGGCAGGACGTTATACGCATGCTCATGCGACGTTTGCAATGGATGCCTCACACCCAGTTGCTGCTAACTCTCTTCCTCCAGACGTCTCCCATTCTGCCTCTTCTCAAGTTGCTGCACACTCCGTTTTGACCCCAGAAATTGTGAATAAACTGTTAACATTGGTAGACCAGCCTCAGTCACATGAAAAATTATCTGGTAAGCGTATTCATTCTCAATGGCTCATTGATAGTGGGGCCTCACGTCATATGACAGGCACTTTGGCTTTATTAGCTGACATTACACCTATTCCCCCTCTATCTGTGACTCTACCAAATGGTTCTATTACTTATGCTGCAAAACAAGGCTCGATGGTGTTTAATACAAACTTCAGCTTGTCAAATGTTTTATATGTGCCTAACTTACGCTGCAATCTCATCTCTGTTTCCCAATTGCTTCACTCCAAGAGCAGTAGCGTTACATTTACTGATAAAAAGTGCATTTTGCAGGACCAAGTGCTGAAGAGGGAGATTGGTTTGGGTGAACTTCATAAAGGAGTCTATGTGTTTCAGCCTTCATGTGCTTCAGCTTCGGCAGTTCAAGCAGGAGAGTCAATTGACTTGTGGCACAACAGGCTAGGCCATGCATCCTATGATATCTTATCTCTGGTTCCAGAATTTAAAGCTTTGCAAAATAAAGTAGTATGTAAGGCATGTGAAGTTTGTCATCGTGCCAAGCAAACTAGATCAATGTTTCCTATAAGTTTTTCTCGCAGCAAAGAATGTTTTGATTTAATCCATTGTGACACTTGAGGTCCTTATCAAAATTCTTCTTCTTCTGGTGCACATTATTTCTTAACTGTGGTGGATGACTATAGTAGGCATGTATGGGTTTTTATGTTGGCCGATAAAAGTGAAACTTATGATCGGATGTGCAAATTTCTTGCTATGGTTCTGAACCAATTTGGTAAAACCGTAAAAATAATAAGGTCTGATAATGGTACTGAGTTCAAATCTAATAATATGGTGAAACTCTTGAATGAAAAAGGTATTTTGCAACAAACAACTTGTGTTTATATGCCTGAACAGAATGGCAGAGTCGAAAGGAGGCATAGACACATCCTTAATGTATCACGTGCCTTACTGTTTCATGCAAATCTCCCTGTTGATTTTTGGGAGGAGAGTATTCTTGCTGCTGTTCATATAATTAATAAAACACCTACAAGAGTTCTCCAAGGCAAGTCACCACATGAAGAATTGCATGGAGTTAAACCAGATTATACATACTTGCGCACGTTCGGTTGTCTGTCATTTGCTAATACAAGACCGAAACCAACTGACAAGTTTGCTCCACGTTCGCGACGATGTGTTTTCATCGGATATGCAATATAGCAGAAAGGTTGGAGATTGTTTGATATAGAAGCACAACAAAGCTTTGTGTCCAGGGATGTAAAATTTTTTGAAAATATTTTTCCTTTTCGTGAAGCTCCAGTACAATCTGTTTCTGCACCAAATTCTCGTGTGCCTACAGAGCCAAATTACTTTGACGAAGGCCAAATTGTCCATGACGATTCTGATGCATCAAATGACAGCCCAACGCCTAGTGAATCATGTGTTCCTCTGGACGATAGGGGGAGTGTTTCGCTGGAAGCAACACCAACTAACGAAGTTGCCGCTAGGGAGTCCTCCTTACTAGAAAGAAGTTCGAGTTCTAGTGATGCATCAACCCAACAGCAGTTGCTGGAAGCAAATCTACGTCAAACAGTCACACGCCAGCACCGTACCAGGAAGCAGCCATCTTATTTGCAGGACTATGCATGTCAAGCAGCTGAAACACACACTCCTTCATCTCTCCCTACTCAAACCAATGTCACCTCAGGTACTCGGTATCCTATGTGCAATTATCTTAGCCTCACTAACTTTTCTAAGCAAAATCAAGATTTTGTTGCAGCTATTGACATAGGTCATGAACCACGTACATTTCAAGATGCTATGAGAGACTCCCGATGGGTGGAAGCCATGAGGGCTGAAATCACAGCCTTAGAAGACAACCATACATGGTGCCTCACAGATTTACCTCCAGGGAAGCGTGCTCTTCCAAGCAAGTGGATGTTTAAAATAAAATATCGTTCTGATGGAACGGGTTGGAACGGTATAAGGCAAGATTGGTGATTGCAGGTAATTATCAGATTGCCGGAGAAGATTACAGTGAGACTTATGCACCAGTGGCAAAGATGGTGAGTGTACGTACATTGCTTGCAGTGGCTGCAGCAAGAAACTGGGAGTTGCACCAGCTTGATGTTCATAACGCATTCTTGAATAGAGAAATAAGTGAGGAAGTTTACATGAGATTCCCCCCTGGATTCAGTACTGGGTCTAAGCATAAAGTATGTCGTCTTACAAAGTCATTGTATGGTTTGCGCCAATCACCCCGAAACTGGTTTTCCAAACTCAGCAGTTCGTTGACGGCATATGGATTTGTTCAGTCAAAGCTGATTACACGCTCTTTACTATGCAAAAAGGGGAGGTGTCTCTTGCACTTTTAGTTTATGTCGACGACATCATCTTAGCAGGTAATAATTCACATGCTTGTCTTGCAGTTAAGGAATATCTGAATCAGTGTTTTAAAATAAAAGACCTGGGTAGTCTGAAATATTTTTTGGGTATTGAAATTGCCCGCAGCAAGAAAGGAATATTTTTATGTCAGCGTAAGTATGCCCTGGATATTCTTTCTGATTCCGAGCTCAGTGGATGTAAACCGGCGATTTCCCCCATAGAACAAAATCATCGCCTTGCCTTGGATGACGGACCAGTATATGAGAACCCTGAACGGTATAGAAGACTCATTGGTAAGTTGATTTACCTCACTATCACAAGACCCGACCTGAGCTATGTTGTTCATATCCTTTCTCAATTCATGCATTCACCGCGCCTAGCTCATTATGAGGCTGTTCTCCGGGTTATTCGATATGTAAAGAGAGATCCTGGTCAAGGACTTCTCCTCAAATCGGATTGTGACCTAAAAATTCATGCCTATTGTGATTCGGATTGGGCTTCATGTTCTCTTACCAGACGATCTCTCACTGGTTTATTTATTATGTTGGGTTCTTCACCCGTATCCTGGAAGACCAAGAAACAAGTAACGGT